CAGAAACTGCAAAAGGTGAAGAACTTTAACGCAAGTCAGTAGAAAAAAGGATCAAGGCAAAGCTCGCTTGTTGTCGACCCGTTTTCGCAACACTTGCTAACGCCTCTAAATAAGCAATCCCGATTCGGAAGCGCCTCAGAATCCTTTTTTCTCTGAGGAAACGGTCAAATTTCGGTGAAGCACTGTAAGCCTTAGACCTTTCACCGCACTGTTGGTGGCGGAGCTAACCGAGCGACCGATTTCGACCGTCGTTTTTGTCGATTACATTTAGCTACATCCAACTGCTCCTCCCAGAGGATAGAGATGGGTAGCTTGGAGTGATTCGCCTATCGTTCCTAGCACTATCCATCCTATTGCGCCTAGTGATGCCAGAAAAATCTACGGACAAGAGGGGGCAGTAGTGAATTTTACCAATTTGAAAGGCTGAGGGATGTCATTTCAGTCCTCGGGCTATCAAAGGAATCGTAATGAATCCTCTTTTCATTTCCTTCCACTCATATCTCAGGCAGTTCCTACTTCTCGTATATACGTGATAGGAATGGTTATTGATTACCTGCAAGTGAACACAATAGCTATTCCGATGTTTTGCTCCCAGTTATCCGCCTCAGCTAACCGATGCATTTCTTTAGAAGCAAAACTAGCTGTATGTAGAACGCTGTTGGATCTAGAGCTTTAACACATCGCTCTTAACAGTCATGCACTCAAGCTTGACTGTCACCAGGTCACAATATAGGATATTTTTCTTCCTATTAGAAAAGAGATGGCACTACCGAATCTTATTTGGGCTAATTCAACAAATGAGCATGAGTTTAAACGCCTTATTGCGTGTTAAATTCCGTGCTAGGAACAGGCTGTTATGATAACCAAGCCTGGTTGCAAGAGCGGTTGCACGCATGGCTACGAAGGGAAAGTGTGGGAACAAAGGAAGCCGATTCTCACTACGAATAAGGAAGAGCTGCGTGACGAATGAAATCGACCAAAACAAACTCCTTTATAGATTAATCATGGAGTAATATTATCCCGCATAGGGGGGAGGTGGGAAGGGTGTACTGTAGGGTCTAGAAGTAGACCTTCCGAAATTTTCGTATATCTTCCAAAATTTAGCAAAAAGCCCACCCGAAATCTGCAACTCATCCAAGTCTCAATCCCCTCCTGGAGAAGCATTCCGCATTCAACCGAATACCGAACCCGTAATACGAACCCTAGGTGAGAAGTCCTCCCCACTGGTCTCCCCGGTAGGATTGATCGGGAGTGGTTCTCAAGCTGAACAGCTGAAATTCGATAGGTTAGCCTCTGTGGCACTTCACTATTAAACATTTAGTGGTGAAATCTTCTGCCAACTCAAAGAAGTGGTCCCGTAAAAGAGCTGCTTGCATTGAAACTACTGCAGATTTTTGCTAGAATTCCTTTCTCTGCAGAATCGTGTCTGTTGAAGCCTATGCTCGAATAGCCCAGGGAATAATGGAATCTTTTTTGTAGAAATTCGTGACAGAA